AAGGACTTCAAATCGGACGGTGTGGGTAGGGTTCATGGTTCGATTCCCTCGGAGTGCCACATTTTGCATTTTTCAGCTTTTGCTTCCCTTCCGTTCAAAAATGTCCGTGCATGAATACAATCCCATGACTGTCTTTTAGGCAGCGTTCATACTTCGCGACAGCAGCGGCAATCGCGGCGATCGGCGATCGCCGCGATCGTCGGTACGTGGCAGAGCGCGCCCCAACGCTATTATGGACCGCTCGCTTGATAAATAAGGGAATCCAACTTGTGAGACCTTCTTTTCTCTTAATAATGGCTACTAACTGATAACTTACGACTTTCTATACAAGCGGATCTGGAATATGAGGTAAGGAGGTTTCACTTCTTTTTAGGTCGGGATGAGGCCAACTCCATTTCCTGGGTGAGCTTCTTTCTTTTGTTTTTATTGTTTCAATTTATACTAGCGCCTCAGAACTTCCTATCATTTATAGTTTACAAGTCGAGTTCAAACAACGAAGAAAAAAAAGAAACAGAAAGAAACTCACCTAGGAACCAAAACACTAATCATTTTACGCAACATCAACAGGTGAAAACTTTATAACCTCATGTGTAATGAGAAAAGAAACAATAAAAAACTACCCTAAATGAAGCTCTCACGCTTTTTGCTCATTTCTATCCTGAATCAAGAAAGAAAATAGAAAACAAAAGCCATTAAGTTGGGTTCACCTTTCTTGTGTCAAACCAAGCTTCAGTACCTAAGAAAATTGCAGTTAAAGGAAAAAAGCATGAAATTGAGTCGCTTCTCCCTAAAAGCCTTCGGAGCGGTCCAAGTAATAGCGTTGGGGCGCGCTCTGCCACGTACCGACGATCGCCGGCGATCGCCGCTGCTGTCGCGAAGTATGAACGCTGCCTTATGGGCACATTTTAAATGGGAACACTCCATGAATCAGTGCTATTCAATTATTACAGTTTTACATACCATTAAGCAAGACCGTAATTGAAAGTTGACTTTATAGGTCAGACAATGCCCGAATCACGAATATGGAACTCACTTATAGCTATGGTGCCATTTATCGCTAATATGGAGCCACATGTTTCTTCCAATGAATGCGTTAGGTACACACATATAAGGGACGTGTAGCGCTACCCAGGCGCCAAATTACGTCGGCGCCGAAAATAAGCGTCAAAATCGTGATCGGGGTCCATCGATTACCCCTGAAGAAAAGGCTTTCAGCCAAAAAAATTTTTTTTGACATTGTAGGGCTTGTGTTTTGGGTAGTGCCCGAGGTTCTTTCTATCGGATTTCACCAGTACCTCATTATACAGATTTCCCCATTTTATTGATATACAAACGTAAAACTAACACATTGATAAGAACTCATGCAAAAAAGGAAAGGGAAGTATTCGTCCAAGCAACTTGAAAAAAGCTGAGGAATTTGAATGAGTGCAATTTCTGTTCCATTAGGGGAAATTGACATATTTGTTGAGCGAGTAGGCTTAGGAATCGGCAAAGGCCAAGGATGCTTTTCCACGAATGTTGTGGCCACCCACACTGATGCCAAGCATGAAAGGGCCTTGGGCGCACCCTTGCGCTATGGCTGTCCTGCACAGCGGCCTGCTATGTCTTGGTCACGTCATCATCTTTACGAAGATGTGAGCATCGGTCACCACTGCATACCAAACGGTTCACCAAACCCGAAAAAAGAATGCTGGTCAAAAGTTCGTCTATAGGAGGTAATCGATGGTTTTGATTACGATTTTGACACTTATTTTCGGGCCGACGCAATTTGGCGCCAGTATAGCGCAGAACGTCTCTTATATGAGGGTACATAGACGTGCTTTTCACTCCTTTCTTGGCGTTCCTGGGCCGCTCAGCGAAAATGAACCCCACTTCTGTGGTCTATGGCAAACCCCTACAAAATGCGAAGAAACCATTTGGAAAAAGCGCGGCGCGAACAACGACCATCCTCTTTAGGTGTAACACGAAACTTCAGGGTTAGGATCGTGACTGACAGTACCAAATACACTTGGACAACGCTTTTGATGGCAAGTTTATGCACAATTATTGCCATGTATTGATGGCGTGACACGGAACTGTTCCCATGCCAAATTTGGCTATCTAGTTTCCACAGTGAATGGTTGTTCAACTTCAGAGGATGATCTCACTAACTGTAACCAGTTTTCGTGAAAATGAAATGATTCCCAGGTTGGAAAGTCGCGTTAATTTGACGGGAAACTATTGTCATACTTTTTAAACCCAAAACACCGCCATCACTTGAAGAGGTAATATAAGCAGCTATACTTCAGGGAATGGTCTTTCTATTGGTATCACTGGCTTGACTCCTGCTTCTCCTTATTCTGCAATATGGACAAGAATGTTATCCGCTATCATAGGCACCGACACCCTTCAAGCGCTTCCTCAAATTCTTTCTTCGACCAACCCTGGCGCCAGCGTGACAGCTATCAATGCCGAAATAGTGGACTACCATAACGGTGATGCCTACAATATCAGACAATATTTTACGACGCTGAAACTTCAGGTCGAGACCCTATTTGAATGACGAGGTGAGGTTTGGGTGTACCTGTGAACTCAGCCTGAGGGAGCTGTGGGTCGGGAAACTGCTGGACGAAGAAGCTGCTTCCTCGGTCAATCCGTACGCAAGGCAGCTACGAGATCTGAAGCGAAGGACCAGGGGGAAAAATCCGTCCACGAAGTCCGTCTTCGACGTAATGTTGCAGCCCAATCCGTTCAAAAAAAGTCGTGCCAGACCTCATGCTATAGGCTATTCCCTCGCAGAGAAGTAGCCCAGACGTTGCTTTTTCTAACAGCTACTCACTGCTAGTTGTCTCCCGTACTTAACCGTTATAAGGCCGAGAAAACCTCGACTCGAGCCCAAGTCAAAGTTGAGATGATGTCCAACTTTGCGTCGCGCCGGCCTGCATTGTGAAGCGATGGCATCCACGAGTGTTCAAAAACTGGCAGTGAACAGTGCTCAAAAACTGGCAACAGAGGGCGACCAAATACATACAACTACCACCTATTATACCTTCTGAGGAAATAAGGCCAATAAGTCGCGCGTAGTACCACCTCAATTAAATGTAACTCAAACGAATAACCGTTCCTACTTCCCACCCCTGTTTAGCACCAAGCGCGCAGCACCGCCAGAGAGCTCGAAGCAGTGGTAACAGGAAGATAGGCCAGGCTCGTACTTACACCGTAATCTTTACGGCGACATTCGAGACGCCAGTCTCCCACCCAGACAAAGGAGATTATCGGCGTTGTCTCAAGGTCAGTGCGGATATTTCAACGCACCTACGGCAGACTTACAATTCAAGGGCGCCGTTTTCCGTTACGGTATCCTGCCGGTAATACTGGAGTTAGTTTTTTTGCTCTGCATACTCCAGATCCCTGAGATGGTTGAGGCGCTGCAACATACTTCAGCTGAACTTTAAGGAGACCACTTATTTACTGGAATGTTTTCGTTCTGACAATGAGACAATTGTAAATAACTTCATCCAACGGACAAGATGATTGTTTTCTCAGACTGAAATATCTCACACATTACTCATTCTAGACCATGTTTGAATGAAATGAGCACAAGCCTTCCACACCAAGGAAACTTAGTGTACGATATATCGATTTCAGGAATCCATTCTATAAACAGCCAATGAGGGATTTTAGAGACCATTGCAAATGTGGAGCAATCTTGTTGTGGTTCAATTCCTCGCTCAGAGCATATGAGTTATGGCCGACGGTTGTGTAGGACAGCCGTGAAAAATCATGAAAGATCCTGCAAATCGTCCTAGAGTCTCTGTGTGCAAACTTTTTTCTTGCACAGTAGCCTCCGTGTGTGCGTAGTTTTTCTTATTCGTGTGGTTACACTATGCCGAATAGTGAGTGCTCTAGAGGCAGTTAGAAAGTAAAATAAAAGCGGTTTTGCGGCTACACGTTGACAAATCCGCTCGAGACTTTCTTTCGAGTGTAGGCAAAATTCATGTGACACTCACTTTGTCAAGAGAGGTCATTCTGGATTAAGACGAATAATCGGTAGAAGCTGAAGGGGGAGCTTTACTGATTCCCTAGCGGAATACTGATTCTACAAAAAAGCCTTCTGGTATCATCTGATTTCGACTACCCGAATAATCACCTACCCGGTTATTATTCTGGCTATCTACCCGAATAATTGCTTGAATAATGCGAACTACGCATGTGTTTAAAGGCAAAGCCCGCGACCACAGATTGTGGGTAACGGAACCCACATAGGAACGAAAAAGGGCTAGGTATCTGATTAGCGGAGAAAAGCAGCAGAAAAACAGCCGAAAATGCCCTAAATAGGATTCCATATCGACCCCAACTTGTACATGCATGCAATGAAGAAAACGCATGTTTGTACGAATTTCCACTCGTCGTTATCATAAAGATATCAGCTCTTTTATCGTATCACCTCACTCTCACCATTCGGAATGGAGAGAGATAGCATAGTGGCTACTAGCTAGTAGCTAGCAGCCGGTGGGGGTCGGCATGGGCCTAAGGGGCGCCCATGGGCCTAATTGGTTAGCTTAAAGCGGAATTCTTGCCGATTTTCACTTTCTAAAGGTAGCGCAGCCTCCGCAATCTCCTTCCGGATCGTCTGACACATTTGAAAGGTCATAGCCTTATTTTATCGCGGAAAGTGCCTTTAAGTTCAACTAGCGCATTAATGTATTTCATACCAGTTTCATTCAGCGAGACTATCAAAATCCTTTGACAATATTCTGGAGTCAGGAGTCACTACTTACTAGTTTCAAATCCTCACGAAATACATTCAAAGATTACGACTCTGTTCTTCAGCCACCTTTTCTCGCAGTGGACTGTGCGAACGAAGTTGAAAATTGGGACGCTGTCAGATTTCCTAGTATCACGTGTGATATTTCACCAAATGTATGTGCAATTGGAGATTCAAGAGAAGAAACGCTCTCCCTGCGATCGTCTTGTACCCCCATGTGACCCATTAGCAGAGTTAACCATAGTTTAATCTAATGGCTATTGAGATCGACATGGTGGAAGTCACGGATAAGCTGCGGTTCGCAACGGGTTCACCCTTCGCAAGACGTCGCTCTTGCAAAAGTGGAGGCAGTGCTGAGGATGGATTCTCAAACTATCTCCAGATTCGAGATTTCGGACGTGAAGGAACCCAAAGTTTGTGATAACTTCACCACAGCACTTGATATCGGTTTCTGTCCTGGAGAAGGTCATTATATTTGGATACATTTTCATGTGGTTCGCTCGGTATAGGGATTTCTGTATGGCAGTATATGTATGGCAGGCTACAGTTATGTAATGCCATATGCGAATAGTTAGGGAGGTTTTGACTGTATTCGCGCGTAAAGTGTATATGTACCACAGCTCTGATTTTATTAGTATTTGGTTACACTATTCGAGTCAATATCTATTCGAGTGAATCTTATATATTTTTCAGGGTTAATCAGGTCGTCGCCAATCAGCCAGAGTTCGCTGCTGCCTTCAGATGCGCGATTGGTACTCCAATGAATCCTACTAAGCGGTGTGCTGTTTGGTAATTGAAATCATGGAAATGCACTTTGTTCTAGGACATTCATTGAAGTTATTTTGACTGCAAACTCTTTACTGCTCCGAATATTCCTACCTAGACTTTTTGCTACAGACGAGTAGTGCATTTCTTGATATGACTGAGTCAATTTTTCTTCACTTCGAATGAGAATGAAATTAAATCTTGCGTTGCCTTCCTTCGAGGGTGACAATGTTACGGAGCTCACTGTGAAGTGTCCCACGCTAATAACATTAAATTTCGCTCCAATGAAAGTACAGAGCAGAGCCATAGCGAGTATTCGCTTTCAAACCTGCCCCAGAGTGGAGGCATAATCTGCCCGTCAAAGTTATCTCTTCGCACCCTTTCAATGTTAGAGTTGTGCTGCCCTTAGCATGCACAAGAGTAACATCAGTATCACCACCAGTCTCGTGCGGAAATGGTGACATATTCTGCATTGTTCAAAGAAGAACGGGGATTTTGTGCACATTTCAGTTATGCTTTCTTTCGTCTCGACATAGATGTCCTTGGCATATGTGCAGCCTTTGATAACACATATGGGACCTCTCAGTCATGATGTATAACGTTGGCGTACGTTTACCATGCTACGCTTGCAAGGCTTTCTTCTAGGTATTTGCAACTGGAGAATAGCTGCATGAAAAAGTGGGCATCATTCTCGCTGAGCAGCCCCTGGAATTCCAAAAAAGGAACGAAAAAGAAATCCATTGGAACCGATCGTCATGAGCCTCTATGGGATGTAAACTGTCGAAACTTTGGCCAGTTGCTGAGTGGAGGATCCCTGTAAAGGTACTATTGGAACCGAGGAAAAAATAGTCGGAATGCAGTAGTAAAATCGGATGGCCTAGTGGATAGTGTGAAGGACTTCAAATCGGACGGTGTGGGTAGGGTTCATGGTTCGATTCCCTCGGAGTGCCACATTTTGCATTTTTCAGCTTTTGCTTCCCTTCCGTTCAAAATGTCCGTGCATGAATACAATCCCATGACTGTCTTTTGGGCAGCGTTCATACTTCGCGACAGCAGCGGCGATCGCGGCGATCGGCGATCGCCGCGATCGTCGGTACGTGGCAGAGCGCGCCCCAACGCTATTATGGACTGCTCGCTTGATAAATAAGGAAATCCAACTTGTGAGACCTTCTTTTCTCTTAATAATGGCTACTAACTGATAACTTACGACTTTCTATACAAGCGGATCTGGAATATGAGGTAAGGAGGTTTCACTTCTTTTAGGTCGGGATGAAGGCCAACTCCATTTCCTGGGTGAGCTTCTTTTTTTGTTTTCATTGTTTCAATTTATACTAGCGCCTCAGAATTTCCTATCATTTATACATTACAAGTCGAGTTCAAACAACGAAGAAAAAAAAGAAACAGAAAAAAACTCACCTAGGAACCAAAACACTAATCATTTTACGCAACATCAACAGGTGAAAACTTTTTAACCTCATGTGTAATGAGAAAAGAAACAATAAAAAACTCACTCTCAATGAAGCTCTCACTGAGTTCTTTTTGCTCATTTCTATTCCTGAATCAAGAAAGAAAATAGAAAACAAAAGCCATTAAGTTGGGTTCACCTTTCTTGTGTCAAACCAAGCTTCAGTACCTAAGACAATTGCAATTAAAGGGAAAAATGCATGAAGTTGAGTTGCTTCTCTCTAAAATCCCTCGGAGCGGTTCGAGTAATTTCGTTGGGGCGCGCTCTGCCACGTACCGACGATCGCCGAAGTGGCCGATGCTGTCGTGAAGTATGAACGCTGTCCTTATGGGCACATTTTAAATGGGAACACTCCATGAATCAGTGCTATTCAATTATTTCAAGTTTTACATACCATTAAGCAAGACCGTAGTTGAAAGTTGACCTTTATAGGTTAGACAGTGCCCGAATCACAAATATGGAACTCACTTATAGCTATGGTGCGATTTATCGCTAATATGGACCACATGTTTCTTCCAATCAATGGGTTAGATATACACATATAGGAGACGTGTAGCGCTACAACACAGGCGTCAAATTACGTCGGCGCCGAAAATAAGCGTCAAGATTGTGATCGGGGTCATCGTTCACCCCTGAAGAAAAGGCTTTAGCCAAAAAATTTTTTTTGACATTGTAGGGCTTGTGTTTTGGGTAGTGCCCGAGGTTCTTTCTATCGGATTTCACCAGTACCTCATTATACAGATTTCCCCATTTTATTGATATACAAACGTAAAACTAACACATTGATGAAACTCATGCAAAAAAGGACAGGGAAGTATTCGTCCAAGCAACTAGAGAAAAGCTGAGGAATTTGAATGAGTGCAATTTCTGTTCCATTAGGGGAAATTGACATATTTGTTGAGCGAGTAGGCTTTAGGAATCGGCAAAGGCCAAGGATGCTTTTCCATGAATGTTGTGGCCACCCACACTCATGCCAAGCATGAAAGGGCCTTGGGCGTACCCTTGCGCTATTGCTGTCCTTCCCGAGGCGGCCTGCTTTGTCTTTGACACGTCCATCTATCTTACGTAAATGTGAGACTTCGGTCACCACTGCTACCAAACGGTTCACCAAACCCGAAAAGAATGCTGGTCAAAAAGTTCGTCTATAGGAGTAATCGGTGGTTTTGATTACGATTTTGACACTTATTTTCGGGGCCGACGCAATTTGGCGCAAGTGTAGTGCAGAACATCTCTTATATGAGGGTACATAGACGTGCTTTTCACTCCTTTCTTGGCGTTCCTGGGCCGCTCAGCGAAAATGAACCCCACTTCTGTGGTCTATGGCAAACCCTTGCAAAATGCGAAGAGCCATTTGGAAAAAGCGCGGCGCGAACAACGACCATCCTCTTTAGGTGTAACACGAAACTTCAGGGTTAGGATCGTGACTGACAGTACCAAATACACTTGGACAACGCTTTTGATGGCAAGTTTATGCACAATTATTGCCATGTATTGATGGCGTGACACGGAACTGTTCCCATGCCAAATTTGGCTATCTAGTTTCCACAGTGAATGGTTGTTCAACTTCAGAGGATGATCTCACTAACTGTAACCAGTTTTCGTGAAAATGAAATGATTCCCAGGTTGGAAAGTCGCGTTAATTTGACGGGAAACTATTGTCATACTTTTTAAACCCAAAACACCGCCATCACTTGAAGAGGTAATATAAGCAGCTATACTTCAGGGAATGGTCTTCCTATCGGTATCACTGGCTTGTCTCCTGCTCCTCCTTATTGTGCCTTGAGGACAACAATGTTATCCGCTATCATAGGCACCGACACCTTCAAGCGCTTCCTCTTCTTTCTTCGACCACCTGGCGCCAGCGTGACAGCTGTCAATGCCGAAATAGTGGATCCACCATAACGGTGATGCCCCTACAATATCAGACAATATTTTACGACGCTGAAACTTCAGGTCGAGACCCTATTTGAATGACGAGGTTAGGTTCGGGTGTGCCTGTGAACTCAGCCTGATGGAGTTGTGGGTAGGGAAACTGTTGGACGAAGAAGCGGTTTCCTCGATCAATTCCTACGCAAGGCAGCTACGAGATCTGAAGCGAAGGACCAGGGGGAAAAATCCGTCCACGAAGTCCGTCTTCGACGTAATGTTGCAGCCCAATCCGTTCAAAAAAAGTCGTGCCAGACCTCATGCTATAGGCTATTCCCTCGCAGAGAAGTAGCCCAGACGTTGCTTTTTCTAACAGCTACTCACTGCTAGTTGTCTCCCGCACTTAACCGTTATAAGGCCGAAAAAACCTCGATTCGAGCCCAAGTCAGAATTTAGATGATGTCCAACTTTGCGTCGCGCCGACCTGCTTTGTAAAGCGATGGCATCCACGGAGTGTTCAAAAACTGGCAGTGAACAGTGCTCAAAAACTGGCAACAGAGGGCGACCAAATACATACAACTACCACCTATTATACCTTCTGAGGAAATAAGGCCAATAAGTCGCGCGTAGTACCACCTCAATTAAATGTAACTCAAACGAATAACCGTTCCTACTTCCCACCCCTGTTTAGCACCAAGCGCGCAGCACCGCCAGAGAGCTCGAAGCAGTGGTAACAGGAAGATAGGCCAGGCTCGTACTTACACCGTAATCTTTACGGCGACATTCGAGACGCCAGTCTCCCACCCAGACAAAGGAGATTATCGGCGTTGTCTCAAGGTCAGTGCGGATATTTCAACGCACCTACGGCAGACTTACAATTCAAGGGCGCCGTTTTCCGTTACGGTATCCTGCCGGTAATACTGGAGTTAGTTTTTTTGCTCTGCATACTCCAGATCCCTGAGATGGTTGAGGCGCTGCAACATACTTCAGCTGAACTTTAAGGAGACCACTTATTTACTGGAATGTTTTCGTTCTGACAATGAGACAATTGTAAATAACTTCATCCAACGGACAAGATGATTGTTTTCTCAGACTGAAATATCTCACACATTACTCATTCTAGACCATGTTTGAATGAAATGAGCACAAGCCTTCCACACCAAAGGAAACTTAGTGTACGGATATATCGATTTCAGGAATCCATTCTATAAACAGCCAGTGAGGGATTTGGAGGACCATTGCAAATGTGGAGCAATAATCAACTACCCGCCGATGTCCGAGCTTGCGAAGCTATGCTGAGAAGCGATGAAGGAGAGAAGAGCAGTAGCATCGACGGGAGCAGGGCGTATGAGAGTTGCATGACCGTACAGCAGGCGCAAATGTCTGAAGAATGTCATTAGTTCTCGCTGAAATTCCGGCTGGTCACGCGCTTCCTATCGGGCTTTAAGACACACTGCTTACCGAAAACCAGCAGGACCAGCTGCTTGTAGCCATCCCACACATAACTGGAAGAACATCGGATGATGTATGGCCATGCGAGCAAGCAGGGTTTCGGAGAGAATTTCGAGATCTACCACATCCAGACAGTACAAGGTACCGCAAAAAAACAAGATGCCCTCATGGCTGACGTTCATCATCTCTATCGAGGCAGAAGTGGAGGGAGCCTTATGCGACCTAATTGCAACCTAATTCCGAGA